GCTGTTAATAGGAAAATCCGAGTTTCAAACTGTCATATTTCTTTAAATGAATTTTGCACTTTCAGCTGTGAGGATAGTAATAATAGTGACGGTCAATCCCCATATTCCGTTAAGAATAGTTGTGCTGCTGATTTGTTATCGTTTCTTAGGTAAGCCATTGAAAATAGTTTGTTTGAATCTCAGGATTTTTGGACTGAATAATTAAATCAATTATATAAAGTGCCATTCGGGTTACAAATACCAAATATCGAAAAATATCAGATAACCACTAAATTGATACTGTAATAGCTGAAACTGTGTAAATTTTCCTCCCAAAACTTAAGTATTATTATTATTCACACCCCAATCACTTGGTGCTTGTCCTAAGACGTGTTATCAGCAGAAGTTTCAAATGTTTTTGAGCCATTACATTATATTCATTTCATAGGATACTTAGATGTGCCTTTTAAAAACATCTTAGAAAATGTTAAGACGATGGAAGGGCTGACTAATTTTTTAAAAAACAGAAAAAATGAGTTCAAAATTAAACCCTACATCAATAAATTTTTGTTTGTATTTTCATGAAAAAATATTTAGTTGAACAGGTCTATTTGGGACAGCGTGAATTATGTGCACGAGTTATAAGGCGAGGTCTACATAAAAGAGCTATTATCTATTTGTTGGTAAAAGAGTAGTCCAAACGATGGTGGTGGGTGGTGTTAACTAGCTGCATTACCTTTCGTCTATCACTGTTAAATTACAGACAGCTAACGCTAATAGCCCTCGAGTAGCTTTGCGCGAAATTCAAAACAGACAGAACCAAATCTTCGTTCTTAACAATGATATTTACAAATTATCTAATATGTTAAAAATATTTCTGATAACATTCCGGTAATATTACCGGACACGCAAGTATGAAAGTTAAACAATAATATCGAAATATGATATATAATAAATTTAAATTACTTAATCTGTAGATTCGATAACTAAGATTCCTTTAAAATAATAGCATAACATGCTCATCTTAGATATTCAGTGATATGAATTTCAAATTAGGTGATCACAAACCTTGTTTTAAAATATAACGTAACAAGAGTGCCTACTTAGTTGATATTTAATCTTCATTCCAAAAATTCTATGCATAAGGACGTGAAATAATTGTTTGTTTGTTTCTTAACTTCGCGCAAAGCTATACGAGGGTTATCTGCGCTAGCCGCCCCTAATTTAGCAGTGTAAGACTAGAGGGAAGGCAGCTAGTCATCACCACCCACCGCCAACTCTAGGGCTACTCTTTTACCAACGAGTAGTGGGATTGACCGTCACATTATAACGCCCACACGGCTGAAAGGGCGAGCATGTTTGGTGGGACGGGGATGCGAACCCGCGACCCGCAGATTGCGAGTCGAGCGTCCTAACCACCTGGCCATGCCGGGCACACGTGAAATAATCTGATCTTGAAATTTTTCTGGATTCTCAAATTTGTTAGGACTTGAAACCGCTTGATATGTAAATTGAGAACTACGTTAGTAAGAACCAGAGGTCAGTTAATCCGTACAGTTGGTTTTGAGAAATAATTGTCACATAATTACTTCAAATGTTTATTTTGAAAATTTTCTTTTATAAACTGTATATCATGGATTTGAGCTGACTTCTGTTTTTAGATACAGATTAGAAAAACTTTGATATTGCTGTAAAATTAAATCTTATTCTGAGAATTGCAAAACCGTAAACTTTATTCTAAGCGAAAACTTTTCTGCTTGTTAGATTGGTGAGTTGATAAGTCTCCGACTTCTCTTCCAGACACCGACGTAACATATACTTACAGAAGTAGAGCTTGGAGGAATGAAGCGGCTACTAGTGGTGCAACTGTCAGAACGATCCCCATAATCTATGCCATTACTGCTACTTACAGTAGGCCCACTCAGATTCCAGAGATGACTAGACTAGCTCAGACTTTAATGCATGTCTCAAACTTCCTCTGGATAGTAGTTGAACAAGGGACTGAAAGATCTCGGAGTCTAAACAATTTACTTCGAACGTCTGGTATATCTTTTGTTCATCTCACAGCGCAGGAGAACCCCATAGCTCTACAAGACTGCTATCCTAAGAAACCATTTGGAAGTGTTCACTCACGCTACGCAGCGTTAGAGTGGATTCGACAACATGCTGAACCGGACGGGGTTGTTTATATGCTGGATGATGATAACTGTTACGACCTGAGGCTATTTGAAGAGGTAGGTCATTTGTGTGTGTGTGTATCACTATTAGTTTAAACCATATTGATAGCTTTTAAGTGAAATAAAACTAATTACATGATTTTGCACTTAAGTATTTTTGTGTTCTTTGTACATAGGGTAAATCATATTTTATAAGTACAATTTCTATATGTTAATGCAATGTCACCAAAGAAATGAGTGTTGTTACCACAGGGGACATGTGTACTACATGAAAGTTTGGTTCAAAGTGAACATTTTACTATTCTATGTACAATCCCATCATGAGTTAAATACATTATTGTAATGCTAAAAGTGTAAGAAATAATATAGGTGATTTTTAAAGCGCTGGCCACAACAGAAGATTTAGATATAATGCGAATAACAGTTATTCATTTACTGAAACCTGGCTAAATGTAGACAATTTTGATGACAGAAATTTCTTTGAAACACTGGGTTATAGGTTGTTTAATATCAATAGAGTACTAAAAAGGGGAGAATGTGTGGCTTTGTATGAAAAATGTGAGTTAAGCCTGTTCAAGTTGAGGATATCAAAGCTAATAACAATGAGGATGAATATATTTGGGTTTCTATTAGAGGTTATATGGGGAAAAGGCTTTTAGTTGGAACTTGGTGAAGGGCTGTTGCCCGAAACATCGTTTTCTTGTTTGATTAATGAAATTATTTTAATTTGGCGAGTTTTTCACCACTACTTTATATTCTGTCTGAATTTTGTTATTTCTTCGCCTACGCAATTATTTTATTGCAATCATATGAGACTTGGATTATTATAGAATATCAAAAGAATTGGTCAAAGGGAAAATTAGGAAATAAAGTATGTTATAAAAAGGCTGGACAACTATGTAAAAATAAATAGTAAGTATTTTTCAAATACATTCAGTGTAAGCAAAGTGTTAAGATTGGAGTTAGGCATTATACTTGACATTGATATACAAATATATATGTATGGAAAATTAATTGACTTTTACAACACTTTAATGATGATTCACTATTGAAGTCAATATCACTTGTAAACCAGTTTTGGTTTTACAATACTCTGGTGTTAAACTGCTTGAAACTGATAAGATATTTTGTTGGAGCCCCACCTAGAATTCAGCATTACTGCATTTTATACAGTTGGTTCTCCAGTGTGGCCATAGATACATTGATGGATGCCATCCTTTTGTTGATTTCCTTTCCTTTTGCCAAATCCTAGGTTTAAATCAGCGCTGCGTGAACTTAGAAAATTTCTCTAACCATTTTAAAATTGATCATCTTGGTTCTGGCACCTCTGCTTGTCAACCAGTTTATTGGAAGCCTAGCCAATTCCAAAATCTGGAGGTAAGCTTATGTTATTGGTTTGGCAGGTAAATACTCAAACGTTTGGGCAAGATCTTCTGTGGCCTCAAAAAAGAATTGGTTGTTAGATAATACTGACAAAGAAAAATATTTCTGCATTACCTTCTCCTTTTTCAATATTAGATCTATAGTGACCTCTTGTGTGCCTCCAGGCAATTCTAGAAGTTGCTAACTTTTTCAAACAAGATATCATGCATGCCTATTTCTACGTCATGTGAGAATAATCTAAACAATTTTTCCACGATAAATACATCTTAGAGATATTTAATAGCACAATTACACTTTATTACTACACAAAAATCACAAAGGTCACCTATAAAGTGTCGAGAGTAAAGTGATTCCCAGTTCAACTGTGGTTGCCGAGATAAATTTCCGACTATTCGTCCCAATTGCTTTGACCTAGCATTCACCAGACCAGATAAGAGTGATCTTGAACATTCATCCAGGCTTAGATAGCCCCAGTGTGATATAGAATGTTCAATTTGACATTGACATAGCCTGGTATAATGTAGAAGTGTTTCGACCATGAGTGTATATAAAGACTTCATGAGCAGGCAATAGTCAAATTTTCAGTCTATAAATTAGTCCCATGCTAATAAGTTGGATCTTTGAAACTATGAATCGTTCACCCCGCCAGCTTTAAAGAGCTCCTGCTTGAGCCTGCACCAACCCCTTTTATCCTTACTAGATGGAAAAGGGAGACATCTGCTCTAAAGATTTATCACAGAATAAATGAAAATCGGAAACCAAAGTACGGGAGCAGTTGGAAATTATGTCTGTATAAGAGTCTTCCAAGCATGGTCACTTGCCAATTTGTTTTTAATTTTTTAGATTATCCACAAGATAAAAAAGATTCAGTACTCATTGACCCCACCACTCACTATAGAGTCTTACAAAAGGATGCACTAATCTGCCAAACTGAGACAGTGCAGCTATCCCAAAGTTATGTGGTCTTATATTCAAACACCAGAACCAGATCTAATGTTCAAAGCACCCACTGAGAATGTCAAATGCTGGCACTCAGTTGACTATAGCCGCATAAAACTAGCTTACCTACCCTGGTAGAGACACCCCAGGGTCATTCATCTACAGGAATTCAAAGCAAAAGTGGTGTGTTGCAATGTCTCTGACACCACTCCACCTCAGGGGTTTAAAAATATAATAGGTCTAAAACCAATATCTTATGACAAATATGATTATAATCATGTTTCCCAACTTTTAAAAGACGTTCACACCATACCAATTGTTGTTGTAACAAATTATTTATATAAATTGTGTTCCAACTGCTACTGTATTCGTTGTATCCCAGCCAGCCTGACGAGCTGTGGATTGAGCCAAACGCGTCGTCGTCAACGAATATAGCTAACATATTATGGTTCAAATACACTTCTAATTCTTGTAAATTCCATGGGGCTAGATAAAGTATGTAGTATTTAAAATATAATAGCCTAATATTTATGGGGAAGTCCTTTTTAACTCACCATTTAGTAATTTTAATTAATCATGTCATGGGTGGCAGTGCACCATATTTATGAAGTGGTATTATACAGTGGACTAACTTTTTCATGATATTACTTTTCTTTTTTTTAGGTTACTAAGTGGTGAGTTAAAGAAACCTAGATCTCCATAAATATTATATACACACCATGATTATAAGATTTTTACTGTATTTATTTAGTTTTCTGACCCAAGCTGTGCTAATGAGCCTTGAATAGACTGAACTGTAGCCAACAGCAGAGGGTACAGCGAATCAAATAATATAATAATATTAATAAAGCCTCTACTTCACAGAATTTTAATTTAATATTTGGGGAAAAGGAATCTGTAATATCATCATTTACCATTATTGATATTCCAGACATTTCAGTGTTGTTTTACATGTTTATAAGCTTGTTTATGATAGGAGGTTAATAATTTAAATTTAATGTTTTGAATTTTGCTTAATTGATTGAATATTTAAAATGTGCAATTCAGGTATTAAGAAACTATATAACAATCAGTGGGAGACTTGGCCTCCTCTGGGGGCACTGGAAAAGCTTATTAAGAGCACTCTATTGGTGACGGCCCAGTATGGCCAGGTGGTTAGGGTGCTTGACTCGCAATTTGAGAGGTCGCGGGTTCGAATCCCCGTCACACCAAACATACTCGCCCTTTCAGCCGTAGGGGCGTTATAATGTGACGGTCAATCCCACTATTCGTTGGTGAAAGAGTAGCCCAAGAGTTGGCGGTGGGTGGTGATGACTAGCTG